ACAGACACTTGTTTAAAAAAATACTAAAACTGGGGAGAAAACAGAACTGGGTATTTGTTCATATAAACTGCTTCACAAGCAAATGTATGGCGTAAAGACCTTACACAGCACATATACGAACAAAGACACGATACGGGAGATAAAGGGAGCGTGCGATGCGGTAAAAAAAAGCGTAACCGTGCTGCAGTCAAACACGTTAAAGTTGTAACTTTTGTGTTTTGTGAACGTACGTACTGCAGAAAGCGTGCGTAATGAAGCATTAGTAAGCGCAGAAACGAATGCTCTTTAACATGCTGCAGTCTTTGTATGGCCCTCCTCCATTGGTTCCCTTTAGAGCCCTACAACGTGTTCATACTGCCGCACAATGGACTAAATCTTTGAATACGTACCTACTCACGTATATTTACTAACATCTTACGAATACACATACATAAACGAAACACAGATAGAGAGATGATAAGAACGATAATACAGGTAAACCTTATTGTAACTTCTTTTGTTCATTTGCTCAAATGAGAAAGAAGAAGAGTAGCAGCAGCCTCCATCAGACAGCAGAAAAAAAGCTTCACCACACACGACTGGAAAGAGCTATTCAACAATATATTTATGTTTATGTTACCATGTTGTCATATATAGGCCTTATGCATTCATTAAATAAAAACAAAGAGTAATGTAATTCAGACATAAGATAGAGCGTTAAAGGCGTTATAATTCATTTATAACTCACCTTTACATTAATGTCTTTCATTTTTTCCTGCCGTGCTTTCGGCAACGGGTCCGAGACACGGGACATCGCGAGAAAATGGAAACTTTACCAATAGCAGTCGGACTATATAAAATCCAGATGTTTGAATCGTGTTCAGAAAATAAGCATCCAGTGCGTGAAGTAATATGGGAAATATACATGTGCATTAAAGCTCCATTCAGTCTCACATGAACTGTGTGTTTAATAAGACACACAAGGTTTTTTTTTTCTTTCACAGGAAACTCCACAGCCTTTATGAGATACTGACCCGAATCAGACTTTCAACCAATAGCAGTTGTGTATTTCTCTGACTGACAGCCGCTTGACCAATCAGATTTGCCACACATGAGCGACTCCGCCCGTCACAGCTGCTACAGTAAAGACTACAGCAGGACGCGCATGGTGTGTTTGTGTGTGTGTGTGTGTGTGTGTGTACTGGTTTATATATCCTGGTGGGGACTTAAACCTGACTACACACAGACTTTTTTGAAAATCTAAAAATGCAGAACGTTTCCTGTGAGTGGTAGGTTTAGGAGTAGGGTTAGTGTAGGGCAATATAATGTACGGTCTGTACAGTAGAAAAACCATTACGCCTATGGAGAGTCCCCACAAGGATAGCTGACCAGACTGTGGGTGGGTGT